GAAATAGAAAAAAGAAAAAGAGGAAATTTTTTTTTTCTTTGAGCAAGATATTTTTTTAAGAAACAAGGCTAGTCTGGTCACACCCACACTTTGATCGCCCATTGGCTGAATGTTAACGAGAGCCAGGCGGAGGTGATCATGTGATGCAGGGGAGGAGGCCTGCTACAACTCATTAAAGGGGATAGGTATGAGATGTTACTGCGAAGAAGTAGGAAAATCGTTGACGCCCTCTGAGGGTATGGTAAGAGAAGACTTCCAAAAATGGAAATAATAAATTTTTCCTGAGCGAAAACAAAAAAAAAGGGGGATTGTGGATTTGAAATTGTCGGGGAACCTCAAACCCCGACAAAGCCCACCCCGATTTTGGTTGGCGTCCATATAAGCAAAGTCGCAGCGAGCGAAAATCAGTTGGAGTTCGGGCAGTTCCAGATCCAGATCCGGTTGGAGTTGGCAATTGGCAGAGCCTCGCAGAGCTGACTTGAAAGATTCACGCAATTCCGAACTCATCTTCAATGCAAGAACAATTTATTTTTGAAGAGCGACTTAGATTCATACCACCAAAACAAGTTTTACGACTATCACCTGAAGACACACTAAGAACCAGTTTCTTAAAGAACAGACAACTTAAGATGTTAAAACTCGCCTAACAAAAACAACTTGTCATGAATCCATATAGCGGGTCGGAAGTTAGACGCATTCCTATGTATCCAGCAACCAGATAATAAGTATTGTTATCCTTTTTTGATACCTTTGAACCTTTCGAGTTATTATTTTATTTTCTTTTACACATATTTGTGCGATACCACCCTTATTCGAACTCAGCTTGCATTACGGCCCCGACGACTGATTGATTTCGTCTGCCTAAGATCAATTCACAACGTGGGTAGGCAGACTAGAGATCAAAGCAGTTACTTCGGTAACCAGACGTTGGAAGCGAGTTGGGAACGACGAGGCTGATATCGAATCTAACCAGATTCCCATCCGAATCACCAAAAGGTTAGAACACCACATTTGGGTGTCGCGACCAATACCAAGCCAGTTGGTCGTCACAGGACGGGATAGCACGACTGGCACAGACAGGCGGACGTCACGTTTGGAGCGGCGACACCCGAACGAAGCAGCGAGGAATGAGCAAGGCTGGGGGACGTCACAATTGCTGCCGTGACCACAGGATAGGACCCTGGAACAGCCGTACAAAATAATGGCGAAACAAGAACTGAAAACAACTGATCATGAAAATAACACTAAATAGCGTCAATTCAGTCTATTTTAAGCGAGTCTCTGATAGAGGTGTTTAGAGGCAAAATAAGAATTATCCAAGCCTGTATTGATGCTAACCGGTGTCACTTTCAATATCGTTTTTAATTTTCATTCATATTAATCTCCTGTATTCTATATTGAAACACGTCTTTTACATTATTCGCCCTATTGTCCTCATCTTTGTCGCCATATTTATCACAACGTTTCGGTCGTTGTACGCTCCGGCCTTCTTCAGGTGGTTGGAATTTCGAACTGAACCCTTTATTTCGCTCACTGGGGTAGACTGTTCTAGTTCCACGTGCCATGTTTGATGGACGTCAGTTATCAGTTATCTCCTGCTAATTTCCCTCTGAGAGTTCTCCACTGCTGTAACCGGGTATTGAACTCACACTCTTTGGGTCCTGTCACTGGATCTAACCAACGCCTTTATCCACTGTGCCATGTGTCCTTGAGGTTCAGTTCGAAATTCCAACCACCTGAAGAAGGCCGGAGCGTACAACAGCCGAAATGTTGTGATAAATATGTCGACACAGATGAGGAAAATAGTCCGAATAATGTAAATAATGTACATAATACCTCCTCTCAGAAATATAGACAGACTCTGAAACACGTCTGTTATTAAAAATCTAAATGCATCGCGACTTTTCCGAACATCCTAGAGTTTGGCATATTTTTCATAACATTTCTTTCTAGAAAGTCTTCTGACATCAAGCTGGCGCGCCACAAACTGTTGCCGAGAGGATTTATCAGAGAAAATAACGTTTCCCAATTGTTCCTCTATCTAATGTTCATACATTGTTGGTGAATATATAATATGCCCTTTTTTTAAATTTCTACAGTTAATCGTAGTTTTCGGGTTGTTTTGCAAGATTTTAGTAAGGTTGCATAGACAAAGCTGTTAGAAGCCTACGACTTATATCTATAGCCACTTGATGCAGATCGGTTAAAATCTTTTTACATGAACATCTCGGAGATCGAAAAACAATACATGTGATGCTATGATCACCTGTTGAGGTTGGTACATTTGATAACGAACTGATCACTCCGAAATCCAATGTAATATATATATATATGGTCGTTTCTTGTCACGGTAGTGGGATTACTTGTCTTAGTGATTCCAAGAGCGAAGACGTCTGGAGTTACAACTCCTGTAGGGAGAGGCATGGCGGTACGATCGAAGAAGAAGGACCAAAGTGAACTCGACCAACCCCCGAAGGCCCCAATTGTGGAACAGGCAAAGTTCTACATGATTTCAACGGCCAATGCGGCGGAAGAGGGCAGCGCCAGTCGAGCTGGTGTAACCGAGGCTGGTCTTGACAGACCGAGTATCCGAGAGCAACCAGGTTCACCAAATCTCGCGTGTCTTAAATCCCTTTTAAGCCACGATGGAGACGCAGCTGGTCAAGTGTGAAGGCTTCTCCTTCGCGCAATCAAATTCTCGCGAAGGACGCCATCAAACTCTCTTTGATTCACAGCCATCTCCGCCACCGTCACCAGAGGAGAGAAAGGGAATAGTGAGAGAAGACGGCGATCCCGATGCTGACAGCAACATCAAGTTGGTACTCAGCCACTGCGTTGGGAAGACTAGTTTTGCGACAAACTATGTGTACTGAGATTTCATGCTCTGAGGATCCGTCGCCGTGTAATATTTGGGTTCTTTGAATGTCAGGAAGTCACGATTCTTCGACCATTTTAGCATATAAATACCAACTGAAAAATATTTTTAGAACCCCTCCACAATGTTCGAACGAGTCTAAACTCTTGTTTCACATTGATTCAAATATAGTCTCTTTCTTTACATTAACTAAAAGTAACTCTTGTGGTATTATGACATTAATAAGGAAATGTTCATTTTCGTTAGGTGGTTTTACACTTTAGGCGAAGATTTCACATATATTTAATGAAATATTCTATACATATATATATATATATATATATATATATATATATATATATATATATATGTGTGTGTGTGTGTGTGTGTGTGTTATGTGTGTGTGTGCATTTATATATATAATTTATATATATGTATATATATATATATAGAGAGAGAGAGAAAAGACAACTAAAATGTTGCAAATTAAAAAAAATAATAATGTTTTTTATGAAAGTATTTATTTATATTTGATATTTCAGATCGACCTCGATCTTTCTTCAGAAATAACTGAAGAAAGATCGAGGTCGATCTGAAATATCAAATATAAATACTTTCATAAAAATAACATTATTATTTCTTTAATTTGCAACTTTTTAGTTGTTTTTCTATATATACATATTAAGAAAGTATACGTGGCTTCTCATTATGCTATATATATCTATATATCTATATATATATATATATATATATATATATACCATCTTAGAGTCCTCGAGGCTTTATATATCAAATTCTACCAGCCGAGACGAGACGAGCCTATGCAAAGAAAAGGAGCATTTTATACGTTCATTACGGTTGATTGAAGGTCAAAATTTGCCTGACTCTCTCCATGAACAACCGGCTGACCATCATGCAAATTTAGAAGTGACTGCTACACACCGAAAATTGAAACAACCTGTAGACACAAAGCATTGGACAACAAGACTCTTCAGAATTCTTCACAGTCAAAAACCAACCTGTGATTTCTTGGAGATTATTAATGTCTTGATTGTGTTTGTATATCGCCAACGAATACCTTTTGAAAAAGCATTGGTCAAAAGGATCTTAAAAGAATCAAAAAAATTGACGTTTATTTTGTTCAAATCTCTCTCTCTCTCTCTATATATATATATATATATATATATATATATATATATATAATTGTGTATTTGAGCATCAAATACAAGTTTCGTCAAAGACGACTGACAAGTTTTTTATTTAATTTGTTCATATAAGTGTTTTCTTTCTTGATAAAAGTGTCTAAATATTCCATATATCCTAACGATTTCGGATATTTTATTAACCATTATAAAGGATGTATTTTATTTTTAACTGAATGTGTAGATTTTTATATTTTTCTGGAGTGATGGGAAAGTTTGTTTTTATTTTAAAAATCACAGATACACACACACACACACACACACACACATATATATATATATATATATATATATATGCTGTCCAAAAAAACTGATATCATTTTAAAAGCAATTATCTTGAAAACTACTAAGTCTAGCTCAATGAAATTGAACAGTTTAAGTGTTGAACATAATAAGTCTATTATGGAACCGATTTCATAAGCGTTCCATATATACACGGCCTGTGACACGGCACACGTCAAGTCGATAGTTAATCTCTTGCCAAACACGCTGATGTTGATGATGATCTACCATATCTATTAGCCATGCATAAGCAGCTTTTCTCTTTAAATTTTTGGTACCAAGTCCAAATTTGTTTGCCAGTTGGTGAAGGTTTTCCAAATGTGTCATTGAAGGCACGCTGCGCAGCCTTGTGTGATTGTGTGCGAACATATTCCAAGACGCAAAATGACTTCTCTTTGGGAGGGAATGTCATGGATCAACTTGAAAACAGAACAAAAATAAACATTAAATATAAAATCTTGATCTGTTTGTATACATTCTGTGAAAATTTGAGGTTATTTCAAGAAGTGCCAAAATTACTTACCTGCAAAATGATATCAAATTTTGGGGGAGGCTCTGTGTATAATATATATATATATATATATATATATATATATATATATATATATTGTTGGATTGATGTTAGTTTGTGACCCTGCGTTTGACGCTTTTGTGTACGTCATATGTTAGCTCTCTCTCTCTCTTTCTCTCTCTCTCTATCTCTCTCTCTCTCTCTCTCTCTCTCTCTCTCTCTCTCTCTGATATTGAGCGCTTTCCAACAA